GAATGGGAGAAGATCATACATTTTAGCCGTGGTTTGTAACAATGTGTAAATTATTACCATGATTTCTTGCAACGTAGTTTCTTTCACCTTCCTATGTATATCTAAGCTAACCCCGGACAAGTCAAAATTTTCAAGCTTATTCAGCATATTTGATGAAATTTTTTAGCCCTTTTTCTGACATTGCAAAAAATACTTTTGACAGTATAACTTTCCTTGTGCAATGGAATCAGAATATATACATGGATATTTACAATTACATTCACAGTCATATAACATAAATGCATATTAGACTCTTGTAGAACCTAAGATAAACAACAAATTTGTTACTAAATTACATTTTAATTTTAATTGTATATCTCTATTTCGCATTTACAACATGTAGCCAGAAAAAGAAGAGTATTTGGGATAAACAGATGATGCTCCTGAAAAGCTATCAATCCAAGCCTTAACTCCTGCTTCCATTCTGACGACAGCCATTTTACTACATGACATGTTAATATGATGGCTGTTGTTGTTACAATGGTTGTATGCCCTTCTTTTACCATTCAAGACCAGTGAGGTGTAAGCAATTTTGTTATTGTTCGTCATTGTTGTCCAATCAAAGACGTACACTCCCGATTTGGGAGCAGTGAAAGTTCCTTTAACCGCGTTGTAACCACCTCCTACATTCAGATCGACTTCTCCAAACATGACAATATTACCATCACTTACTGATTGAACAGTTCCTTTGGCTTTGGCGTTGAATGCTATTACCGTATTTTCTAAGGACAGATAAAGAACAAATGAGAGTGAAAACCATATGGTCAGTGCATATTCATTATATCAAAGATTCATGAATCTGAATTAGTATCTTACTTCTATCATGGTTCTTTTTACAGTGGTCCTTAACATATCCAACAGCCACACAGGTTTTAGCAACACTGTCGTAGTCGTCTCTGAAGGATTTTAGGCTGGGCCGGGGTGATACTTTGTCAGTGTTAATAATGCCAAAAATGGAAACTAATCCCACAATGAACACTAGGGAACACATTCTATAAAATTCCTGATAAACAATGGAAAAAAAGATTAGTTTTACATGTTTTATCATATTCGATATTTTAATTATTGAAAGCTCAATGACTATAAATCGTTTTGAGAAACATCTCATGTCAATTGTCGGTCAAAGATTAATTGTGGTAGTTTTCAGAGTAATTGAAATATGAAGAGATATGAGAAAAAAAATCTTATTCAGACAAAATATAGTTATAACGTTATGATTCCTTAAGTTGGTTCATACATTTATTTATTTTATATGAAAATATTTCCGATTCTAAATAATTCTAATAATAATATAATTGAAAAAAAATTATTAACTGAATGTATGTTTTATTACATTTTTATTAGGTATAGCGCTATAATAATTTATATATTGAATACAAAGTTACTTTTTTCTTAATCAAAACATTAATGTAATCTTCTTAATTAATTCTTAGTATAAAACGTTTTCTTACCTTTCGTTATGAATACTTGATACATGTAACACCAAGTTACGATGCATCCTTTCTTTTTAGTATCAGCTTTTATATATTTTATTCCTAGCGTGCTACTTTATCATTTGGTAACATGTTGCAATCGAATCATCTGATACCAGCAACGAAAAATATCTATTCTGAACTTTTTCCAAATATCACGAAAACTATTTCAAAAGTGGTTGTAGATACATAAATATTCCATAAAATTCATTGTCTGGGTATATGGTATCATCATTATGTTATGCAGCAATAAAAAAGGGGGAGGCTATTTTTTTTTATACCACTCTGTCCGTTTTTTTTTTAGACGTCTGGACTTAATACGTTGTGAAGCTTACGTCGTGAAGTCGCATACTGTAGTTTTATTTCTGACATGAATACGTGTATCATGCTAATATAGCAAAAATGTAAATGAGTAAAATTGTATATTACAAAATTAATTCATTTCAGCGACCATGGAAGTTTTTCACTTTAGTGAAAGATAGGAATACAGGTATTTCTTTGAATCTCCGCATTTGAAAACAGTAAAAATAGACAATAGGCGTTTTGAATGTCTAGAAATCTACCGATTTACGAATTGGAATTAGAAACAGTTAGAGAAAAAGCGCCATGAATTTCCAATATTTATTTTTACCTGAGTAAATTTTAAATAACTCATAGATATGAGCAAAACATGTCATCCAAACCTTCCATTAATTCAGGCATGTGGATTGATGTGGTGTTACATAAATTTCCCCTGAAATTTGCCATTTCTCCCCATTTCTATGTAACGACTATTAAGATTTTATCCTTAATTCTATATGGATCGCCCAAACAATGAAGGGCTAAAATGACATAAAAACAGGGACAGTTTTTTTAAAAACATTCTCTAATGTTTACCCAAATGGAAACTGGTATACACCTCGAATATATTTACACGAGATGCAGTAAAATAAAATTCATTCAGAATTCTTGTTTTTCGTTAGCGCGCTTGATGAAATTTTCTACGTGACAAATCTCTGCTATTTACCCGCCATTAACTCGCAAACTAAAAACATTCATTCATTATCTTAACGCAGCATAATTAGAGCTAAAGAGTTGGGGTCTAATTTGCACGGGAAACGTTAACTATGGCATCACACAAATCTACAATTTCTTTAAAATACAACAAAAGATGACTTTGATTTGCGATTTCAAACAATGTGAGAGAATAAACTATATTAAAAATTATTAAAAAACACGGTTTTGTTGTTAGTTTAATCTCACAAAACAAGTATAAACAAGTAACTGATAGTTAAAAATGTGTCAATATGGTAACTTCTGTAAATACATGACATAGTTTGTAAGCAGTGATTATAGACAAAGGATCACTTCATATTAAATAGGGATCTGGGGGTCGTAACATAAAAACTACTTAAGTCTAAGACCATACTTAAGTAAGACATAAGTACATTATTTGTCTTAAGTCCGTATCATAAAGGATGCTAAGAAATACAAATCTTAGCAAAACTTAGGCTATCAACACAGGTGACTTAAGTGCGTGTTATACAGAACCTGAACACATTATACGTAAAAATTGTTAAAATTTAACGATGAATATTGTAAGTATTCCATTTGTTATTAATTGACAAGAAACTTTAATACCTCTTCAAGTCAAGAATTAGCAATTATGTCTTGCGTACATGTATATAGCAATTTAAGCATGCACATGTATATTAAACAAAATAACCCTATAGGATATACATATGTGTACATTAATTATGATTGGAAATCAACGACAGCTTAACTCGGCCGGTAATTACGGAGAAACTGAGAGTAGTATTCAGAGGTTTGTGAATAAAGACACAATTAAACACTATTCACAATAGATATTAGAAGTTAAGTTCGAATTATTACACGAATGGCGTCGGCTTACATAGTTCTACAAAGTGGGAGGAAAAAAAGAACTTTTAAGACAAGAGAAAAACTACATGATTATGACGATCAATATTTGATAGAGCGGTATCGTTTAGACAGAAATCTAATTGAAAATGTGTGTGAATTGGTAAGAGGTGACTTGGAAAGACCAACTAAGAGAAATGAAGCTATCAGTGTTTCATCACAGGTATTAACTGCTTTGAGATTTTATGCTACTGGCAGTTTTTTCAGCGTTTTGGGAGATTCCCAGGGGATGTCAAGAATGACCGTTTCTCGTATAGTTGATGATGTGTCTTGTAGCATAAGTAAATATGCTAGTGATTTTATCAAGTTTCCTTCCGATAATACAGAATAAATCCATGTCATGCAAAAATACTTTGAAATGTCTAAATTTCCCAATGTTCTGGGTTGCATTGATGGTACACATGTTGCCATAAGATCACCTAGTAAAGATGAACATTTGTATGTAAATAGGAAATGTTTCCATTCAATAAATGTTCAGGGGGTGTGCGACGCCGATCTCAGATTCACCAACATCGTCGCTAAGTGGCCAGGGAGCAGTCATGACTCTTTCATATGGACAGACAGTGCTCTTTCAACAAAGTTTGAATCCGGTATGTAATATTCACAATAAAAATAAATTGGAAGAAAGCGCATTGCCTTGTGCTTTGTATAAACATGTATATACAGGCATGCAGCAACGAGGGGGGGGGCACTTTTTTACGCAAAATTAATTTTACTTTTCAAAATGTTCATTGAAGTACAGCCCCCCCACCCCACCCAGTTAATCAGTTAATACTACGGTAAAGTAATATAAGGGAAATGCAGTATGGTATGCAAAAAAATATAATGAATTTTCATTTCCATTCAATACAATATATACATGGTAGTAATTATACATGGTAGTAATTACTTTTCCATAGGATTTTGAATACAATATACCAAATTTTAATTGCAACTTTTGGGTATTGCGCCGCCATACATGGTAGTAATTACTTTTCCATAGGATTTTAAATACAATATACCAAATTTTAATTGCAACTTTTGGGTATTGCGCCGCCTTCCTATACCAGACAATGAAATTTGTCTTTTTAAATGGAAAAATTTGTGTAGTTACTCCATATTTGTCCATAAGATATTATTGTCTATAAGATATTATTGCTTTAATCTATGTACGAAGTTTATTAATGTATGACATAGGGTTCCTACAAAAGGGATGTTCCTTTACAGCTAAGTTTTAAAATGTTTATAGATGCATGAATATTTTATATAGGTGAAATTAGCGAGGGGTGGCTCTTGGGTGATTCAGCATATCCATTAAGACCATGGATGATGACCCCATATTTACAGCCTTCTACTCCCTCAGAGTATCGTTATAATGCTCGTCATATGAAAGCTAGAAATTCTGTTGAAAGATGTTTTGGTGTGTGGAAGGGCCGCTTTCGCTGCCTTGATAAAACTGGAGGTCCTCTGTCATTTAATCCTTCGAAAGCATGCAAGGTATGAACAAATAACTTTATGAAAATATAAAAAGTATATTTTTAAATCCAAAAATATTTGATTTACTCTATCAAATTTTCCCTCCAATTTAAGGTGATAGTAGCGACAGCGGTTTTGCACAATATGTGCATCAATCACAAGATACAGTTGCCTGAGTGTGAGGTCCTTCCGCCACAGGATGATGACCTATGCTATAATGGTACAGTGCATGATGGACGAAGAACAAGGGAAAATCTTGCGTTAGGATTTCTTTAATCTCATGATATGAAATCAGTAAACCCAGCAGGTACAATATAATATTTAAGTACTTTCTGCGAGTCACACACCATAAACCCCCTGGAATGTCTCTCTACCTCCAAGTCATATCTTCTCTGCTCTAAATCTAATCTTCTTTCCTCCAATTCCAGCCTCTTTTTCTCTACCTGTAATTTAAAGATATAAGTAAAGAAAATAATTGACAATAATAAGTTGTATATTGTACTTGCTTTTATAATTGTACTTTTGGAAATCAATCTTTATTATTACTAAGAAACTACAAAAACTGGAGTACGGATATTTTCATTAACTTTACCTCTAATCTCTCTCGTTCTATTTCTACTAGGTCATGAGCCTCCTCATTTCCGGAAGATCTTTTCCGTTTCCTTGTGGTCTTTGATGTGGCGTCTGTAACACTTTCTTGTTGGTCGCTGAATGGAAACAATGCAAATTAAAGACACATGATTTTTGCTTGGAAATAAAAGTATATTTTGTCTTGGTGGAAATGACTTAGCTTTATCTTATTAATTTAATAATCCATTGATTATTACCTATCAGTAATGAAAGTTTCCTGTAGACTGGTATTGGACGAAGATGGGCCAGCAGTGTCTATTCCTCCAGGAATCCCCTCTGTTGCTGTCTGTCCCATCGTCTCCAATACCCTTAACTCTGTGGCACTCAGTTCCACTGCCGACGATGACCTTCCTCCAGTTTTTGTAGCCTCCTTCCGCGCATGTGAAAGCTTTTTCTTGGAGTCGCTGGAAACATTTCTCCATTTCTTTTTGACATCATCGGCCGTTCTCGTCACCCCACTCACCGAGCTTACCTTCATTTTTAAAGAAATACATGTAATATAAAAAAAAATAACTTCCTATATTATTATAAAAGAATATGAGTATGAACACACGGTGTAAATTTTAAAATATTCAAAAAATATGTATATACTTATCACATGTATTTTCCTATAAAATGTGTGGAAATCTAAGGCATTCAAAACACCGTATTATGCATATAACTGAATTTTCACTTATCAGTGCTGAGAGAGAGAGAGAGAGAGAGAGAGAGAGAGAGAGAGAGAGAGAGGGCCACGTAGCATCGTTTTTGAAAGGGGGCGCCGGAGACTTTTTATTTTACTTTCCTGAAAAAAATTACAAGCAAAAAAAGAAAAAAGGAAAATTACTCAAAATCGAAAATCCTATTTCATTGGGGTGGGTGCGTGGGTAGTGGCCAACCTTTTTCAAAGCCAACTTCTTTTAGTAACGACTTTTTTGCATTCCATACTACATTTTCTGATATGAACTTCCTGTAGTATAAGGAACATTTCCAATAGTAAAAGTTATGTAGGGAAAAAAGTGGGGAGGGGGGGGCTGGTCCCCTGTTGCTACATGCCTGAGAGAGAGAGAGAGAGAGAGAGAGAGAGAGAGAGAGAGAGAGAGAGAGAGAGAGAGAGAGAGAGAGAGAGAGAGAGAGATTTACCTTTGATGCCACACTTGCCCATGCCCTTTGTTTTGATGCGTTGGTGGAAGTGTTATTAAACGAAGAATTAAGAACTTCTTTGTGATTCTGAAACTCTTCTATCAAAGTTTCGATTTCCAAACTGGAAAAATTTGGTTTTCGAGCCATTACCTTCCGTACACGAGAAGCAAATCCCAGTGAATAAGAACGTGACGGAATTTTTAAAGACTCAAAGTCCCTTAGGACAATTGTGACATTAGCTACATGTAGGTGTGATTAAAGAAGTAAAAAATATTCAGTCTGTGAGTAAATATCACACTTACATGTAATAACAAACGCCACATTATGAGCTTTCACACTGTGTAATATTTTAATTCAATACATAAGTATGACTTAGCTAAGATCTTGCTTAGTTCGCTTTATGTTACGGTAGAAGACATACTTAAGTAGTACTTATGTAGGTCCTAAAAATGTGCTTAACACGCACTTAAGACCGTACTTAAGTCAAAAACTTAGCACGCTTTATGTTACGACCCCCTGGCCTATAGGACCGGGCTTGGTTTTTTCTCTACAAAAAGCTTGTCGATTTCCGTTCCAGTAAATGACATTAGGCTGAATGCATATAACAATTTGTTTTACCTAAACCGTTATGTCAGTGAGTAGAGGCAGAGGAACCCTTTCATTGATTTTCTAAGTAGATCTTATCCGTGGATATAATAAAACATGTCAATACTGTGTGCAAATTATATAGGTCTAAATGAAATCCCAGAAGTGCATTTACTGAAATATGTAGCCAAAATCACTGTGATTAAATTCTAAGAAATATATACAATTGAAATTCATCGCAGCTCAATGCTGCCAAGAATACCTGTATTGAGTTTATTCTTGTCCTCGGAGAAAGAGTGCTGAGGTTCGTTCCGCCTGACTGACAACTGTACTTTGGATTGTTACGATTTGATATATTTTTAGTGTTTCTTATATCAATAATGGGCATGCATAAAGGATAGATAACTGAAGGAAAAATACACAGGTCTTTAAAAAAAAATTAAAATAGTTTATGAAAAGGCGAAATTTAAAACTTTAAAAGTGTTGTACCAGGTGGATTCGAACCCCCGACTTTAAAAAGAAAGTATCCAAGGTGTAAAAACCCAGCGGATTTATCAACTGAGCTAGTCTGACTATAAGACTAAACGGCATTAATTTAAAGCAGACTATGAAAATCGGGTTTCCTTATTTTTTGTAGGTGTTTTGTGAATTTCGACCCCAGGGCAGGGGTGCCCCTAAAAAAAATCGTATCTTAATTTATTCCTTACATACTAAACTTTCAAAATACCACAATTTTTTTTAGGGGCAGGCCTGCCCTGAAGGACTTCAAGGCAATAATTCATGCAAAAATCAACGCTTTAACGGACAAAATGGTGTTTCGGTCAACTTTGGAGGTTTATTGTAAAGTTGTAATTAATAATTTTTAGGTATAAAATGCAAATTTGAAAAATTTAGACATATATATATGATAGAAAACAACAAATAAAGATTGATTTTTAAATGTCACTTTTTCCGGGAAATTGTTCTCTCCTATAGGTCAATTCTTTTGTTAAAGTGAATACATCCTTACGGAATACTCTCACAATTGATAATGAAATGTACTCTGTAGTGAAATAACATTTTATTTGCAGATATTAAAGACACCGACAACTTAGATTGAATGTTTTTTTTTAATTATTTACTGATATTTGTTCGTACATTTCGTAGTTAACTGACAACGTGGAAAATTTGTCTGCATGTTCATTCGAGGGCAATGTAATGGTCTTGATAAATCGTTCTACTGCATACACTCAAAGAATCGTGGTGAAAAGAGCTGCAGTCTCGCTGAAACGAATTAATTATTTCTAAAATTAATATAACGTACTTGGCCAGTACAAAATGCACCACACATATAAAAAAAATTTCAACAATTATGAGTACAATGAATATAGGATGGCAGTTTTCACAGACTTCAATTAGTTTTTAAAATATTTTTAAGCTTAACTTTTAATTAAATCTTGGGTTTGCCCTTGTACTAATAAAATTAATATGTGACAAATATTGCAAATTTTAACTGCTAAAATGATGTATTTTTTTAATTTCAAAAAAGCAGTTTTACCTTTATTGGGTACATTAATTTTCCTGCGAAGATTATGAACGCCAAACTTTGAAAGTGAATAGTACAGTTAGAGATCCATAATTCTGTTTCACTAGAAGTGTATATTAAAGCTTTAACTTATCTCTTATCATTACAATAAGAAGTCTTTCGAATTTTCTAATTTGCTAGAACATTTAGATGAAATTATGTACATTCAAATGGTTTTAAATTCAATAATAACTCCATGACGCAAGGAAATGTCCACCATATACTAAATCATATTAGAAAAGTCCATTCTGTTACTGTCTTACATGTTACCATGTACATGTACCACATATTTCACGCGAAAATATAATTGAAATAAACACTGTAACAAGAAAACAAATCATCATGAAAAAAGCCACAATTTATCTAATTCATTTGATTTTTATACCTTTGCATTGTTTACAGTGTCTTATTCATGCAACAGCATAGTTTCAAGTTTCTTTAATTCTTCGGGCCAACTGGCTTATCAGAATTATGCATAACTTAATTGTTCATAAAAGAAAACTTGACAATCAGAGTAAAAAAAGACATATGACAAAAGTCTTATTGATATTTGTGTAATTTTTTTAAAGATGGTTTTCTCGGGGAATATGGAAGGGAATTACCGCCAAAAGTCTATGTATCTTGCTTTTATTCTTATTCTACCTACTTCTTTATGCTTTGTTATTATTGTAATTATATGTCACTTTATTGTTTTCATATTCGTCTTTATTACATTTCAATTTGACTTTTATCCTTCTTCATTTTGCCCTTACTTCTATGTTGCTTTATTCTTGTAAATTCATTTTACTTTATTTTAAATTGATACAGTTTCTTAAATGATTATCTCTATTACGAACGTGAATTCAATCACACAAAGAATGAAGCATATTCAATGAAGACGAATACAGTTGTCAAAATTTAGTGCCGCATTATAACGCTAGGTGGCAGGGGTGTTCGCTACGAGTGTTGGTAAAACTAGGTAAGCAAACCCGGGCCGGGGTTATTCAAATTTTTTTTATTTTTCTGCCTTAATACTTTATCAATCGAACTAAAATTTTCAAAGGATGTTTGCTATAAGTTCAGGTATGTACTCGATAATGCCATTCCCTCGGAAGATGGTAAGATTTCCCCTGGAAGACTGACTACATAGTGGTGCTTCCTTCGGAAGACTATACAGTGAGACTTCCCCCGGGGAAGTTTCAATATATAGCTAGTCTTCCGTGGGAAATCTCGCTGTATAAAACAATTCGTCCCCCTTCATAGCAACCCCTCCCCCGAATAGTTTTTTAATCGTAAAACAATGTTTGTATACTAACGTTTTCAGTTTTTGAAGAAAACTTATCCGTCCTATATGAATAAATGTTTAAATGATATCATTTTAATAGTGGTTAATAATTAAATCATTTTAACCATTTTGTTTAACATAGATAATCTTCACGAGTACAAATGGATAATGACTTTCTTTTTTGCCCCCCCCCCCCCCACCCCCAAGTCTCAATAAATATACTGACCTCCGTCTGTACGACCTCCTATGGGGTAAGTTTCACCGGTAGAGGGGAGGGTGGCCTTTTTTTGGCCATTTTCCTAAACGTAACAGACTTTCTACTTCTGGAATAGTTCAGCGAAAGGCTTGTTGCCCCCATCCCTTACACTTTTTGTTGCAGTACTAATAGACAATTTATATATTAAATATTAAAAGTCATGGACTTTGTGGCATTTGAGTAAAATTTGGTATTTAAAAAAGTTGACGACCCCCCCCCCCACCACCACCACCACCACCACCAAATAGAATTTTCAAGTTTTAAGATTTTTTTTAGCTCTCCTGGCTTATGTAAAATACGGTGCGTACTAAAGATATTTCTTTTCTTTATTGAAAAGTGCTATTTCAATATAAAATATTATAGCAGAAAAAAGACTTTGAGTTTCTAGTATGCATGGGGTGTAGCCTGGTTCCGACTTCGCCTACCCATAAAACCCCTCACTCCTTTGCAAAGCCCCGTCCCTAGAATCACACGCATGAGCAGTTACTATCTGTCAACAAATAAAGTTCAGTTCAGTCCTGAAAAACAACTCAGTTTATAAGGGTAACTAGTATCAAAATAAATAACATTTTATGTCAATTAAACTGGAATTCAATTATCCATCAAATAACTTTAATAGAGTTATATTTTTCAGGCGAGAGAACAGTGACGTAGAATCGTTTTTGAAAATTCAAGCTACCCGGCTGA